TCTCCCATATCTAATTACGGTTCATCTGTGAATTATATCAGCTTAGTGGCTTAAAAATAACCATCCTACAATCAAATATTTTCTAGTCTAAGCACGTAGGGAAAGAGAGGGATAAAATACAATATATTTATAACCATTGATCACTGCACTTAGTATTCTTGGGTCCTTCCCCTCGGAAATGTTAAAAATTCAGAAGTAACACTTTCTTTCATACTGGTGCTACTGCTGGACTTATATTAAATTATATTGGCCTGTGCGTTTTCCTTTAATCACCAAAGACAATGTTAGGGCTCTTGTAAGACATGAAATATTACAGTTGTTTGTTATTAATGGTCTACCGGCGACTGGAGGAAAGACAAGAATATTCTGTGAAGCAAAACATTCTTGAAGTTGACTCATTGTTCAACTCGTCACTTATCGCCTTTATTAACATTTTTTTTTTTTGTACGTATTCCATCCCCAGACTGAATATACAATTAAGTGGCCTTAAAAGCATATGTCTAAGCTGTACCTTACATGTATTTACTGTGCAGGATGAAAAATTGAAAGATACTGGATGTTATATGCGTTTATTAAGACTGCATTTTTTTATCACAGAAGTTATAAAGGAAACAGTACACAAAAATGTTTATCACATATAAACTGATAAAAAGGAGCTTTAACTGAGCATTAACCAAAATGCATACATCAATTATGATGATATTCACAAGTAATATGCTTGATAAAAGTGATAAATCTAAATAAAAAATAAAAAACAATACACAAATAAACTTAGAACAAAATAAAATGTTTGATCTTATATAGAGCAAATGGTCACGGTAATTTTAAATTACATATTCATTTGGAATGCATAATGGAATGCAGAATTTTCATACTACACCTTTGAGAGCACTGTGCCAAATAAAAGCAAATGTACAGTGTTTACAATAATAAAAAAAAGACTATCATTGAAAATCAATTACTTGACAAGATTTAAAAAGGAAGGAAAGGAATTACATAATGCAAAACATACAATTAAAAAAGTACAAAAACTAATAATTTGATACAGAACATCAATATTAAGTTAAATATAAAATAAACACATTAACATGACATAACAATACTATAACATTGATATTAACACTCAATGTATGGATCTATAAGAAAACAATGTTAATTTGATTTACATTAAAATCACTGTAAGCAACTTCAATTCACATGCCTGTGCTCTATAAATGTTGCATACAATTCATGCCCGAAGGATATGCTTAGGCAATTTTGGAAGATAATGGTACTGTTCCTCAGGTACAGACATCAAGAGTCGCTTTATAAAGCCCTTCAGGCGAGCATAGAGCATTGACCAGGTAGGAATATAAGGCATTCTCAAGATAGAACACACAGCACCTACATAAACTAAAATAATTACCTCCTTAACAAAAGGCAAGGATTTCCCTGCCTGTGCCCAGGTATTTGTAACTCTTGTGCAAACACTGCTCCCCACTTTGGCAACAGACTGAGCTATAAAAGCTGTGTTTACTGGCCCCTGTGGTGCAAGTAAAGCTGCTATCAGTGAAATCAGGCGTGCTCCTGCCATAAAGCCAGCACGCCATACATTAGCAATTAATCCCGTAGGTTTTGTATATGTAGGATCTAATACTACCTGAGGCAGCCGTGCTAAGCTCACCTGCTGCAATCGGAGAGCTACTAACTGCCCCGGAGATTTGTACTTATTCAGACGAAGAGAGTATCGAGGTAAGCCAGATGACAAGGAGGCACCATCTACCAAAATCTGACGAGACTCTGAGCACATGACAATTCCACGAAAAACAACTCTTTGTCCACAGCCAGACTGAAGGTTATGTTGAGTTTTTCTTTCATTAATAAAGCAATTGAAATCTGGAAACCCTTTCCTCATGCGAGTGAGAAATACACTGGCCTGACTAGAAGATGGAGTCACATACAAGAAATCATCCACTGAACGTAATATTATGCTATCATCTTTATTAAAGTTGACTAGATGTAAAGCACACATAGCAGAGTAATACAATTCACAAAGGGCACCAGACAAAGATCCTCCCTGTGGAACACCACGATTTGCACGTATACACTGCCTTTGTGTTACTTTGGCTATCTGGAGTGTTACTGTCTTCATAAGAGAGGGTGTCAACTGCCCTGTATGTACTTTTATAGGCTCACCACACTGGACAAGAGGATACCCTCCCCTCATAAGTGGACTTGTAGGCTGGCCAGTCTCGTCAAGAAGTATGTAGGATTTCTGTGATGGAGCTTTGCTGGAACACTGAAGAGCAGAATAGCATCCAAATTTTAAAATGGATGGTAAGTTAGATATGCCTTTCTGAATCAACATCTTTAGAGTTTCATGATTAATAGATCCATATGCATCCTGCACATCCACTCTTACAAAATATAATGGTTTGGACTCTCCTGTCAAATAAACTCTTTTAAAATAATTGGCCCAAGCACTATGTAAAGCTGACAGAGCTCTCACTCTCCAACTCCCACATTCATAAACCTTTATCATTTCTCTGAGCAGAAGACGACAGTGCAGTGCTGTTATTCTTGAGAGTCCAGCCATACCAGCAGGAATAATTGGCCTTACTCCATGGGCTTTAGGTAGAAATCGAAGACATGGAATGCACTTCATAATTTTGGCTCCTTTACAAATGTTCCCATGCTCAACTTTTAATGCTCGTGCCTCAGAATGTGAAAGCATACTGCAAAAATTGCTTTGGAGTAAATTACTGATCCCTTTGTTGTGAACACACTGCCAAACGCGCTTTCGAAAAAATAATAACTGATTACGTCGCACTGCTGTTTCAGTAACATAAAAAAGGGCATGGATAACAGTCATAATCAGTCTTCTGAGGATCCAAAGCCAGACCTTGGCAATGACGTAGGTGTAGTGGCAGAATCTTCTCAGCCTCAGAGCCCATCTGTAAATATAGAACAATTCTTGGTATAAATTGATAAATGGTGAAAGAAAAAATATTTTTAATTACATAAAGCTGTGAACACAATGTTCGAGCTATAACTGTACTGACTGAAGAGGATAATTTGTATCTATAAGATATAAATCAGTAAGGAACAATGGCTAAACTTATGGACTGACAACCAATTAACTTATCTGATACTTGTCTAAAGTATCAGATAATTCTAAAGCTAAATTATTAATAGATATGTTTTAAAATCAGTTCAGAAACCTGTCTAAGTAATGAAATATGGCAAAGCTTATGGAATTTTTTAAAATCGACATACCTAAAGTGTTTGTGCTTGACACCTCTAATCACATGACCAAGAAAGAGTTTGTCATGGCAGCCCAACTTGATGACTGTCTTCACAGCCTTGAACATAATTTTCTGGTTATGTGATGAACCCCAGAGCTCAAAAGGGACAACTTTCATCAACACAGTAATGAGTAAAGCATAAACTTGCTGCCATCCTAATGGAATAAGGCTTCCCTTTGCATCTGTGTCCTGGGGCATTTTTCCCACCTCCTGCTTCAGAAGTTCTTCCTCTGATGTGGGTGTGCCAGGTAAACCTACATCTTTGCCTGCAGGAGGAGCACAGGACATCAGCTGGAGGATATCATGGGACTTGAAGACACATTTATCTGGAGAAGTGTAATCCCTGCAGCCAGCTCTCTTCTTGGGCTGCTCACAGAAGTGGTTAGCTAGGTGTGGCAGAGAGAGTTTTTTCCATTGCTGGATGATTTTTCTGATGATGGATACTAGATCTGTTAAGTCCATGAGGCAATTTGAAGTAATTTCTGTAAAAATGGTTCCAGTATTCATCTTCACAATGTCTTCCATAATGATATGAACTCCTTCATCACCTGTGGGATATCAGAACCTTTCAATTTCATTTTATGAAGAGTGAATGGCTTTACAGGCTATAATATTCACATACAAACTTCATAAAGAATCTTAATTTATTCTGGTAAAGAATGTATCTTGTGTCTTCACTGTATACAGTACTACTACTACTACTAATATCATTATCATTATAAAAGTAACAACTACCACTAATAAGGATATATAAGAAATAATAATGACATGACCAAAAATAACCGTCTAATTGGAAGAAAAAAAAAACTATGAAAATATATTAGCTTACCTTTTGGTAATCTATTGAAAATATTGTCCAGAGGAACCTTTTCCCAGAAGTTCCTGTTGCACAGCATCCATTTAAAAGGAATTTCTTGATCTTCTCTGTATCCTATATTGTAATCTTCTTTCTTCAGGGCAAGACTGTTCTTGCAGATTCTTCCTTCCTTTGGTTGAGCTTCATGCTGCCTGATACTTGTCAAAGCCTTTTTCTGTACACTATTAGTTTTAATCAATGAGTTCTCCCCTGCATGCAAAGACCTATCAGTTTTCTCAAAAATGTTTTTCTCAATGTTCATAGCCTTATTTAAATTGCTTCCAGAGATATCTATTGTACTTTCATTTATGTTTGACAGTGATACAGTGTCTGGTGATACTAAGGAATGTAGAGCTATGTTGGAGTAACAGTTTAAAGTGGAATAAGGTAATATGTTAGTCTTAGCTTGAACTACCTCTATGCCAGATGCTGAATCACTACTGTCTTCTATAGTCTGTTCAAGAATCATTGCATCATTAAGGATATTATCATCAGTTACATCATTGCTTGAAGTAGATGAATATTCTTCAAGTGTAAATCTACTTCCAGAGCTACTAAACTGTGACAATGAAATGTCTGTACATAATACAACTTCCGCTGATACACTGGAACGCTGTCCCCCGTCCCTATAAGCATCAGACATCTTATTGGCCTCAGTTGAGCTTTCTGTCTCACCCCTGTACAATACAGGACTGATATTTGAAGGGGAATTAAATTCTGTGTATTCAGCAGAAATGCTTTTTGAGCAAGAGGGCAAGAACATGGGGGAACCATGCAGAGTGTCATACGGAGAAGAATCAAGCACTTTCCTTTTCTTTGAAGGGCAGCCTCCATGATCTTCACCCAAATGGATGAGCTTT